GTCTTGTAAAATGATTAAAAACTACACGATAAAGATGAAATACATATAATTATGCTACCTATATTGTATAGTGGTTTAAGGAAATCGGAATGTAAAGACTCTCCGATTACAGGTTCGGTTGCTCTACCAACATAGCTACGAGTGCCCTGGTATCGGCATGAACCTACTCCTACATAAAATTACTATTTTTTATTTAGTATATATATATATATATATATATATATATTTATATATATATATTACGTACAGTTGGATGCTTTGAGAACAACTTTTCATAATTGAAAAAAATACTTAAAACAACAATACTGTGTACGCATCAACATACTATAGGAAAAATACAGTTCATACGATATGACAAAATGCAGTTTACGTTAAATTTTGAATTTTCTATGTAAACAGGCTTTCGTTTGCGTGTTTACTAATTTTGATAAAGACGTGGATTTCAGTTACATAATGTTTGTCGAAATGGATTTTGTTTCATGTTTATTTTGGAAAACAATAGCATCAATACTTGTGCAGGTAATCCTGTGCCTTATAAAAGATTATTTATCAATTTTTATTTCAAATTAAAATGGTGGTTACAGGGCGTTGAAAATACATTTTATACAACATTGTACTGGCGTTCGTATTATTATAATATATGAAGATAATGTCATTGTCCTGGGTATCATATAAATGTTTGGTTCCTCTACTAATTGGTAAGTTACTGTAAATAGTAATAATAATTACTTAACTAATTATATAAGTAAAGCTCTTTATTGTGTTGAATTGCATTATGGTCGGTCCGTGAAGTACTACCGTAAAGAGGCGCAGTAGGTAGGCCTACATGTTCCCATCATTCCAAAACGACAAGGTCTGAAATTAACCATAGCATCGGGGGAATAAACCCCTACTCATTCGAAAGATACAATGGATTCTTTAAAGTGCACACGAGCCAGATGTGCATGTACACTGGACTTCCATTTAAGTCCTTATCCGAGAAGACTTGGTTCTACCAAACGAACCCTGGGCAATGAGTGGCTCAAACCTGGCGTCGGTGTTAAGGGCTGTAGTTAGCGGCGCCCCTGCCTTACCGCTCGGCCACTCGAATCGACTTTAAACAAAATTAATTAATTATTATTATTAATCATCACTGTATAAAGTAATTAACATGCACTGTCTGTCATGAGCTAAAAATATGAAAAATTAATTTCATATATTTTAATTGCTTAATTTTCATATTTAAGTAAATTATTAACTTGCAATTAAAACTTTGCATGCAAAAAAAAAAGCCCATAAATTAACCCCGACAGTTAATAATACTATTCCTGTATTTTTTGCATGGACTAACTGGTAATAAATTTAAGGATGTTTTGTACTAAAAAGTCTGTAAATCAGCAAAAAATTATGTTTAAATTATGTTTAAATTTGTGTCTAGTTGGAAGTTGATAACCTATTTGATCCTTTTAAAATAAGCTATCCAAAATTATAATTGAATTTTAGGCCGGGTTCATCGTGTGACGATCGTACGACGCGGTGAGTGCCCGCTCTACAATAGTGATTCTCACCATATTGATTTAACAAGGCAAAAACTCGTAGAGGCAGCCTCGTCTCTTAAATTAAGAGATGTGATAGTTTGAATGATATGAATGAATAAAGATGTACTGTACTCTGTGTGAAGGAAGTGAATTCCATGTATATATAATTCCAGAATCGAAAAATTCTGCACGTTTTGTAGTGTTTCCTCTTAAAACCGTTAGTTTTCACCTGATTAAATTCAACTGAAACTTCGTAATCCGTTTTAGCTTCCAGCTTGTCAACCCTATCTGCAATTATTTACATAGCTGAAGAGAGAGAGGAAAACCTTTCTTCTAAGTCCCTATGATGGGACCCTTTGAACAACTTTAACAATCCTCGCCTCTACATTCAAGGCAAATAAGAGAACCTATTCACAAATACCTGATACACAGTTAAACCTGTTTAAATGAGTTTTAATTATGTTCACACGGCACCACGACGTCTTAGCATGACCTCGTAACCAAAGTATATTTAAATAATTAATCTAATGCTCTGTCCACACTATCAAAATTTCTTTGACAAAAAACTGTTGTATGCCCATATATAGTCATGATGTGCCTATATATGGTCATGATGTGATGTCATAATGACCATATTTAGGCATGTCACATGTTTTTGTCAAATAAAATGAGGTAGTATGGACGGGGATTAACAGTTGCATAAATTCTAAAATTGAACTCGACATCTTGATCATCTCACAAATTCGATTGACATTGACCGAGATAGGCCTATACAATCTGTAACTAATATTATTCCACAAATCATTTCCATCACTGTAGGTTTAACTTCATCTTTGGAGTGTAAAACCGGGAAAAATGCTATTAGGAAGACGGTCAAACATGAATGCCAACGCACGTGTGAATATCCCCCCAGGCCTACAGTGTGTGAATACCAGTTTACAGCCTCCTGGACCTACACTATGTCAACATACTGTTTTGATTGTCCTTGGATTCAAGAAGACTGTTTACGAGAACGATGCATGCCAGTTGATGGTACATCTAGGCCCGTCGTAACGATCAACAAGATGTCCCCTGGTCCTAGCATAGAAGTAAGAAACCATATTTAAGAGGGTAGATGATGGTAAAAAGTATAAAGGAAGTTATAAATAACTGCAAACAAATTTTAACAATTTTAAGTAATTAGTAATTTATCAGGTACCTTTCTTTTAAGATATAGTATTGATACACTGTAAAAACAGCGTGGAGCATTTAAACACAAAACTCTGTCCTGTTTTTGGTGACACGTTTAAAAACTAAACGTGTTCATGTCCGGCCTAATGTGTTTAGATTTCTAACGTGTTTAGCATTAGATGTGCTTATAGGTATTTGGTTGTAGGTACTGTACCGTAGTTATAAGAATTTAGTAAGTGATTCGTTTAAATATTCTCCAACCAGTTAGCACTTTTGGTAGATTTTGTTTTTGGATCATCTATCAAACTTTTCATGAAAGTGTTTTCCAACAGGTCTGTGAAGGGGACACCATTCGTGTTAAAGTGATTAACAAGTTACAGGACGACGGCGGATTATCAATACACTGGCATGGTATGAACCAAAACAGGACCAATATCATGGATGGCGTCTCCAAGGTCACCCAGTGCCCTATAGCGCGTGGGTCGTCATTCGTATACAGTTTCATAGCCGACCCACCAGGTACCCATTGGTGGCACTCCCACTCAGGTATACAAAGAGGTGACGGAATGTACGGCTCTTTAATCGTCCGAACGCCAAAAGAAACCGAAGTCAACGGTGGCGAGTACGACTTCGATCTCTCGGAACATGTGATGATCATAAATGATTGGACAAGTACTATGATAATGGAAATTTTTGCTTTAGCAGTAGATCATACAAAAGCAGCAAATTCAAATACTCTTTCTTTACTAGTAAATGGAATGGGAAGAAACGTTAAATTTACCGACGCAAATGATACTGTATATACACCTCGGACGGAATTTGAAGTGGAGGAAGGAAAGCGGTATCGAATGCGCATGATCAATACAGCATTCGGCGAATGTAATCTGCGTGTTGCTTTTGAATCTCACAAATTAAATATTATTGGTTCTGATGGACATGAGTTCAAGACGGTAAAACAAGTAGATGCGTTTGTGATTAGTCCAGGTGAAAGGTAAATACGAAACAAAATACTGTAATATTGTATAGTAAAATCATTATAGGCCTATACCTTGTATATGTATAATGCGTTTCACTCTTGACTGTAGGAGTTGCGCCCACAGTCAGTACTCAGCAAACGACAAGATGAAGACTAAGAAGCACCAGTGTTAAAGTCTCTGACATTCCTGCCCTAACTGCGACACGTGTGACCCATAACTCATGACGAAAGATTACAAAAGCTGTCTCTTATACACATCTTTTAAATTTGTGTCTAGTTGGAAGTTGATAACCTATTTGATCCTTTTAAAATAAGCTATCCAAAATTATAATTGAATTTTAGGCCGGGTTCATCGTGTGACGATCGTACGATTTGAAATGAATAATAATTATTTTTCTCAGGTTGGATTTCGTTTTAACCGCCAATGCAGTGCCTTCAACGTACTGTATATTTCTCATTGGATATCCAGAAAGCGAATGCAACAGTAGTGGAGAAGCGATTTTGAGATACAAACAAGCACCAAATATTGAAACTCAGTGCGCACATAATAATAAATCTCTAAATCGTATGTTTTCAACCCTGAAAAACAGTGATGTCGAAACGGGTTTAGATGGAATTCAATATGTTTCCTTAAGCGATACCTTTGCACTAGGTAATATGTTTTTTTAACCTTATACTATGACTAGCGAACCTCATATTTCGTATGACTAGTGAAGCTTTTGAATGGCGGTCATAATGTAACACTATGACAAGCAAACTCTTTTCTTTGATTGAGACTAGCGAACATTCAGTAATTTTATGATCCATATGCCTAGTGAATCGTTTTCTTCATTATGGCTAGGAGTAATGAATAGGGCTCAGTGGTCCTTATTGTTTATGAATAGCGAATCGTTTTCTTGGATGACCAGCGAACCTTATGAAAAATCAACCTTATCAATAGCAAATCACATTCCAGGTTGACCCTTATTATTTTTAATATTTACCTAATATTTATTCAAATTGAGACTTTTCCAATCTTTACTTTTAAAGCGCACTAAAAACCCAATCTGAAGTCTGTTATCCTTGGCAATAAATCAATTTTACCCTTTTCGTCATGATTTAATGGTTTTAAATTTCGATTGGCCTCTGTATCATATTGTTAAATCACAACATTTTGCCTTATTTTACCAATCAACACCGATTTAGTGCTATATGAAATTGTGGTCCCATAGGAAAATAATGTATAGAATTCTATAGAAACAATTCTATAGAATTTCTACTGCATGTTTATAGGCTAATTCTATATAATTTTCTAAACCCTGGTTTATAGACCTTTTTTTTAAAGAATTTATACAGGGTCTCTAAAGATGTTTTCATGTAGGTCCGATAGAAATTCCAAAGAAAATCAAAAGAGTTCTATAGAGTATTCTTAGAGTATGTATAGAAAACCAATTTATAAGGAAAAGCTATAAAATAGAGTATTTGTATAGAAAAATAAGATTCTATGGAGTGTTTATTTCTAATTTTTTTCCTTTCATTTTCTTTATACTGCTACAAAATTCCCAAAGAATTGTAAAAAAAAAACCAGTCTTTATAGAATTTATATAGAATTTTCAATAATAATTATCGATTCACATACAATTCTATAGAAAGTTAAGGGAATTTTATAGAAAACAATTATAGAAAATTACTATTATGAACAAACTTCATTGAAATTGATAGAATTTTCACAGAAAAGCAAACAGGTTTCTATAGAATGCATATTAGAAATTCTACAGAATTATCAGTAATTCAATAGGGATTAGTAATTTATAGAAAAATATACATTCTGAAGAATGCTTTATTAAATGTTTATATAAAAAAGAAAGAATTGTATAGATTTTCTATATGTTGATTCTATAAAGTTTTATAAAACCTAACTTATAGAGTTACTGTAGAAAATCTATAGGATTTCATGGATGTCTTTATAGATTCCTATAGAGGTTCTACAGAAGCTCTGTATGGTTCCCTAGAAAGTTGATAGAAACTTTTTTAAAACGTGAATACATTTCTATAGAACAAAACAATCACCTTACTGTGTAGAGTTTCCTAAAAATTATGTTTTGGTTTTATAGACCTACAGAATTCTTAGAGAACAGTTGAAAACCTCTTTTTTTTTAAATTTCCGTTAGGTAATCTAAATTAACTTGTTGCTATGCCATTGTTATTTCCTCTTCTCTTGTTCATTTAAACTGTACTGCACGGCCAGTTAATAATTATTTAACAATCAACATTTACAACTTTATTGATATTTCTACAAATTATCATTGAAAATGTTCTCATCTGCCATCCATCAATTTGTTCGATATTGAATTCTTAACCGTTGCAGTACTTCTGATATAATTAGATTAATAGATAATCAATTTGGAGACATTTAAAAAGGTGTCCTTTGTGTACTGTAGGTTGTACTCTTCAGTGCAATATATGTTTACATAAATATTTGGTACTATTTTTCTATAGAGTCTGTCCCTTCAGAACTATATAATGTGGATAAAAAATACTACATAGCAATCAACGAGTACCTGCATCACATACAAAAGAACCCAAACGATGAAACCGGCACAGTTGCAATAGTACTTCAGATGGATAATGTTGAATTTGAATTTCCAGAAACGCCTTTATTGACTGCAAAACCAAGTTTTGTTGAAACCTGTCATCCAACTCAAAACAGATCAGCGTATGAACGTTGTACTTCAGAACTTTGTCAATGCACCAACGTGTTGAAGGTTCAACTTGGACAGGTCAGTCAAAATAAATAATTTAGTATTACTTTTTACACGGAAATATGAGCTAGGAGGACAAAATAACGAAAAATACTTAAAATAATGAGGACAAATAAATGTTTACTAAATAAGAAAAAGATGAGATTTGTTTTCCTTGTCATTTGTGTTAAAATGATCATAAAAAATCAATAAAAGGCATTTTATTACAAAATGTATTTACTTATAGGAAAACATTCTTTGAGAGCATGCTACACGATCTACCATCATGTCCTTTATTCATATACTGTATTCACTAACTAATAAATAAGTCAACATGGGTGTTATAGACAGTAATAACACTATAACACTAACACTATTAGTAATAGGTCAAAAATACATATTGCATATTTCCCATGAAAGTATTTGGAATAATCGTCAACAAAAGAAGTTGAAGGAAGGATGAAAGGTAAATGGAGGAAGAAGGAAGTGAATCGTTAAGCTTCATCTATGGACTCTCCGCCAATCTAAGCCTTATAGACTCTACCTGAGCATATTTAAATGACACATGACGAACATGAAAGTTTGATTTTTAATACCGACATCATGTAGATCAGTTATGGCTTAGCCGCTGTTTCCATGGCCCAATACTATACTATAGACTACTGCTGCTCTACTAAGCATAATGCTATTGATACTGCTGCTACTACTACTACTGCTACTACTACTACTGTTGCTACTACTACTACTGCTGCTACTACTACTGTTGCTACTACTACTACTGCTGCTGCTGCTGCTACTACTGCTGCTGCTACTACTACTACTACTACTACTATTACTACTACTACTGTATACTACTAGGCCAACTACTAATACTATTACTACTACTGTACTGATACTAATACTGTTGCTGCTACTTTTCTGCTATTGCTGGTGGTGCTACTATAACTCTTGCTACTATAGATTAGCGGATGTCTGATAGCTTATTTAACATTGGCCACATGTCAAGCCCATTGGATTTTAAATTAATTTAATATTGTTTTTTCACCGCAGGTAATTGAGTTAGTACTTCTAAATAATGTAAATTTAGTTCCTCATCCTATGCACCTACATGGACAATCATTTCGTGTTCTAGCTCAGGAGTCTATAGGAACTATCACTATCCAGGAACTCGAGAGACTTGACGACCAAGGTAAATATGATGATAATAGAAAATATTACTACACCACTCTTTCTCGTACAGCTGACGAATATACTCCTACTGTTTTGTTAATAATAATAATGTTATATTTATAATAGCGCATATTGCACATTGCCCCTATGCGCTTTACAAAGAAATAATATAGGCCAACTGAGAAAAAGCAAATAACAATAAAATAATAACAATAAAATAAAATAAAAAATAATAATCATAATAACAATAATAACAATGAGACTAAACTAATTAATGGTTGGCCATTGACTCCGCCGAGGAGCTCATCCGCCCTTTGTTCAGCTATTGCTTTTTCTTGCTGCTGGGTGACCATAATAAACACCCTCCCCTCAGCAGCCACTAAGGCATCTGAGAGTGTTGTCAGTTTAGTCGCCGACGCTTCGACCGGATGGAGTTTAATGTCGTACCCTGGACGTCCCTAACTACTTTAAGCTAGGCTTAACTACTCTTAAATACAGTATATTACTCTTAACTACAATTGGTTAAACTATCCCCCGCCGGACACCATCCCGGTATGTTGCTACTGTTATATTGCTGCTACTACTACTACTGCTGCTGCTGCTGCTGCTGCTGCTGCTACTACTACTACTACTACTACTACTACACTACTACTACTACTATTAATACCACTACCACTAATACCAACAACACCACTAATATACTATACCACGACCAACATCAACAACGCCATCGCCACCACCACTACCACTACCTCTACTAATAAGTACTAACTAGTAATATTTTAAACAAAATAATGATAGTAATAAGATAATGATAATGGCAAAGAAAATGATAATGGCATGATGATAACGATAATGGCTATGATAATGATAACAATTATGATAATGATAATGAATGACAATAATGGAGGAAGATGTTGATGTTGATGATGATGATGATGATTATTATTATTATTATTATTATTATTATTATTATTATTATTATTATTATATAAATCATATTCAATTGCTGATGGCGTTGATAAACAATATAAAAAATATTAAATACATACTTGACTACACTTTACGTAGGAAAACTCAAACGAATTGATGTGGATAAAGCCGTCGTGAAAGACACGGTAAATGTGCCACAATACGGTTATGCCATCATTAGATGGAAAGCTGAAAATCCAGGATACTGGTTCTTCCATTGTCACGTTAACTATCACTCAGAGGTAATTCATATATTCTATATTCATAATCAGCAGGCCCGGGTCTAGTAGGGGCACTTATACACATATAGATGGGGGGGGGGGGGGGGGGGGGGGCACGTCCTTTTATGCCGCTCTAGATTTTAATGTTTCAATTATCTATTCTGACTATGTTGTGCCTCCCCTTCATTTGAAAAATTGTAAATCAGTATATAAATACGCATTTATAGACAAATTCTAAACCATCTCGCAGTAATTTTTTGTTTGTTTTGTATTGATAATAAAAGAGAGTACTGTGTACTGTATTGTGGTGAAACTGGAGGGTCTTTGGGAGGCGAAAGGGGCGCTCGAATTCCAGAAGCAGCACAACTATCTCGACCGAAGTGTGAATCAATAATTTGTTTAATATTATACTTTGTTTCTAGTTCGGCATGACAATGGTTATTCAAGTTGGTGATGATGAAGAGATTCCAAGACCACCAGACAACTATCCCACATGCGGATCCTGGTCATCTGACTAACGTTTAGTAACCAATCAGCGGCACATGGTTATGTCTAATGTTCACTGCAAATTCGAATCCACTATAGTTTTAACGAATGATATTTGTAATCGGTACAATATGTTCGATTTATGCTTAAAATATGAATATGTTTACGTCATTTGTTAATAAAATCGCATTCATGTTGTAGTAAAACCAATAAAAAATGTTATGTATTAAGTATAGGGTCACGTGGTCACGCAAATTGAAATCACCAGTATCATTTGCAAAGAAAGTTTCATGACATCGACGTATATAATAATAAAAATAATAATAGTGTAGATGTGTATAGCGCCGGTATCATTAGGCCCGTACTCAGGATTTTTTATTAAGCCGAGCACACACAGCGCTCGACGGTCGTAGGCCGATGCCATTCTATGAAGAACGCAACGCGACGACGCGCACGTAACGGATCGTTTTTAATGACCATCCGTTAGACTGCTACGACAATCAGCAGACGGCGTTGCGTCGTCTATCGCTCACAAGGAGCGGAGTTTCATTCGTCGTGCGACGGTCGTACCCAGCAGTGAGTGCCCGGCATTAGGTGGGTGAGAATTTGCAGAGAGCGGACCGAAATGGCTCGCAGGTGGGCCGGCGGTGGCGTGCAGGGGAAACACCCTGCTGGGGCATTTTTGATAATTTGAGGTCTTATTTAATCGATTACTGAAGATGCAGTCTGGGTGGATGCAGGATTCAGCGGTAGGAGGTACGTGCAAGAACGGAGATCTGTTTTGAAAGTTTGGGGGCGGGGGAGAAATTTCGCGAGTCCACACTCACCATGGTTATGACTGAGGAGCAAACATTTGAGGAAATAGATGGACGGAAATGACAGTTTTATATAGTAAAATTCATCATCACATCACCATTATATAGTTGAAATGAAGCGCCAGCAAATTTCTCATGATCTTTAATCAGGGATTTTCGGCAACCACAGAGATCTAATTAATATGAGTGATGTACCATAGAAAAGCAAACTTAAAAAAAAAAACACTTTCTTTTATGTATTTAATGTACTTGACCTACCTCAAATCCATGAGGCCACATCCACCTCAGCCCCACCATGGTTGGGGCTGAGGTGAGAACATTTGACGAAATAGTACCTCTAAATGGCCAGAAATGACACGTTTAAATAGTAAAATTCACCATCATTACATCACCATTATATTATAATCAAAATGAAGCGCCAACAAGTTCTCATGATCTTTTATCAGCTATTTTCGGCAACCATAGGCTAGATATCTAATTAATATGTGTGATGTACCGTACGGTACCGTAGAAAATAAAATTTAAAAACATTGTCTTTGATGTATTTACTTTACCTGCTTCAAAACCGTCATGAGTCCACACCCATCTCAGAACCACGTACCGTACCAGGGGCGGATTTAGGGGGGTGGGCGGCCCGGCCCGGCCCCGGTCCCCCCTATTGGGAGGTAAAAAAAAAAGAAAAAAGAAAGAAAAAAAGGAAGGAAAAGAAAAAAATAATAGCCCAGAACGCCTCAAATGTTATTTTCGGGCGTCTAGAACACCAAAATTTCGCGGGGCCCAAATTTCGGCCCCCTTTCGCCCCCCCCCCCTTATGGACATCTCTGGATCCGCCCCTGCCGTACCAAAGTTGGGACTGTAGTAAAATTTGGGGGAATTGTACCTCTAGATTGCCGGATATGACACTCTTATATAGTATGATTCATCATCATCGATCTAATTAATCGCTGTGATGTACCATAGAAAATAAAACTTGTCTTCGATGTATTTAAGCTACCGTACTTTACCTACTTCATGTGGCGTCGAAAACCAATCTTATCTTTGCACGCTTTTTCTCATACTTCTCAAATTATAATGAAGGCACGTGCACTCGAGTCGTGTATTAGTACGGTACTGTAATTCAAAAAAGGTTTGTGTGGCAGAGAAACCGGTATCTTGCTATAAAATAAGATGTACTATACGGCTGTATATACCGCTCTTTCGTTAAAACAAGGGTCTTTCAAAAATGTTCAGGCATCTTCTTGACTCACGAAAAGTAAAGGGGAACAAACCCTTAAAAATATGTGGGGCGTGTTCCCCTTCCCCCATGATAGGTGCGTGAGAGTCCACACAACTTTATCCCCAGCATGGTTGGGACTTAGGCGCGAAAATTTTGAGAATATGAACCATGACTGCCCTTTCATACCTTACAAATCTTAACAATAATCTTAACAATTATTTTTCTATATAATACCATTTAGGGGGTGGGGTCGCACCGTCTGTATTCACCTGCATCTGCCCAGGCAATATATACAGTATTAAACGGCAGATATGTACAGTGGCAGATCCAAGAACTTTACAGATGGAGAAGAACCACCTCAGCCTCACCATGGTTGGGACTGAGGGAAGAAAATTTATGATTATGGAACCTCTAGATTGCTGGAAATTGCACTCTCATACAATTTAAATACAGTATCATTTTCTTTTTACCCCATTTATTAAAATTTTGAAACATTTAGCGGGGACGGGACGGCTTGGCGGTGGCGCAGGCCCGTAGCCCTGTCTCTTATACA